GTCCCATAAATGGGTGAGCATTTCCAGTCCTCCATTTCCTTACCCCTCTGGCATCTTCCTGAGGAGATGTCAAGGAGGTGAGTAAAGGGCTGAGCTCTCCAATTTCAACACAGCAAACCATGTGCTCAATCTCACATGGAATCAACCCTGTAAAATATCACATCACCCCATGCCTGCATCCTCCCAGTCTGACACATTGCTACTTGTCCTTTTCTCCCACAAAACTATCCTGGGGCCCCTTCCATGCAGCCATCCTGTACCTTTAGGTACCAAATCCCCTTCCTGGGCTGCCCTGCAAAGCCACAGCCTTTTGGATCCCTGCAAGCTGGTCACAGCTGGGCTATAGTTACCTGGGATCCGATAGATCTTCTCAGCACCTTCCAGCTTAATGCCAACTGCTGCACCTCTGGCTTCTCCTCACATGCACTGTCCCAGTCACCTGTGTGAACACCCTGTTGTATGAATGATCTCCGACACTGCTATCAGGACCAGGAGATGAGCCCTGCTGTTCCTATCATCTAAGCCACCTTTGCTCATTTTATTTACATGAGCAGCTGCACTGGCAGATTTTGGGAGGATGTGAGGGATCTTGGTGATGAGCAGTTCTGCAGCACAGATGTCTCCGCTGGACCACTGCAGCCACAGGAGGGTGTGTGTCTTTAAAATCTTGAGCATCCTCCTGTCTATTCCTTATGTCCTGTTACTAAAATAATTTCAAAAATCATTGTGGCATGATGCTGTGCAACAGTCAAGCTCCTTGTTCTTTGCACAGCCTCTTGGATCATGTAGAAATAACATGCATATGTTTCGGGGGCACAGACCAGAATTTATTTTAAGAGGTTCTTTAGGATCAGACAGTCACTACTAGCTCATCACATTTACTATTCAGGATTATTGGACCACAAGTGACCTTTCAGATTCTTAAGACTTGGATTACGAAGGGCTTTATATACTAAGCCTAATGACTTGAATTATAGCCTTAGCATCCTGACAATCAGAACAGGACTACGAGCGTTTTACTTTCTTCTATCCACAACACAGCTTGGGCCGGATTTTGAATCCACTTCAAGGGTATGTCAACTGGTGCCCATCATAGTGATCTAGTTGAGTTGCAAGAACGATAAGACGACCTAGGCAAAGGTCATGTCTCAGAGAAACGGTAGGATTTTCTAGATAAACCTGATGAGACATCTGTCTGCCTTCCTCCAAGACAATTATTTTATCATTTCTAAATATTAAAAAGTCACTCTGAAAGGCTACATCCATGGGGCTGCAGTAGCAGGACGCAGTACTTTGTCATTTTCGAATCTATGCAGTAAGTTTTGTGGGACTGATACTATCTCCCTGTAACTTGCTGAACTAGAAACACTTTTCAAGAAAAGGAATACCTCAAGCAAAAGAATGCAAGTGTCAGCAAGTTCTATGGCACCTGGTATCAAGGCATGCATGCTGTAGTTGTCATTTTCAATCACCATTCACACAGTTCAACATTACACTGAATTTGTTTTCCTCTCTAAGGTTATGCTCTCCATTACCTGCATTCAGTTGCCTTTTGCCAGCATCGATGCTGGAGTGAACCGAGCATCCTCCGAATTGTTCCTGCAGTCAGCTCAAAACACCAGTGGCTTGCAAGCTGTACAGGAGGTCAAAAGTTTAATTTGACCATTAAAGCAATTTTATGAGGTATACAAGACCCACAGCAACAATACAAATAAAGGTTGATTGATACATTCTGCTGGCTGAAATGCTGTTCTGTTAACAAGGAAGGGGAACATCGGCACAAGCAGAGCAGAAGAGCGTGTAAGACGTGCTGTTTGCAGAAGGACAGCATTTCTCACATTCCCTTCGTTCTTCTTTTGCAGTAGCAACCATCTGTAACACTTGGGTAGGGAACAGCACAAACTAAGACTCACCTGTCATTGCTTTCATCTTCTGCTGGGACCCCCCCTCAAAACACAACCCAAACAAAAATCAGAGATACTCTGTCTGCTCTGCGTTAACAGAGTAATTCAACAAGAGTCAGTATTTTCTCACTAAACAATGTCAAAGATACCCTTGATCTCTCTGCGGTCACTTCCCCCCCCTCCCTTTGTCCAAAGACAGCTGAAATAATAAAAAATAATAATTTAGAAAACAAAGGGGGAATCCCTGGATTTTATAGAGAGCCAATGAGTATTGTTGAGGATTGGAGCAATCTCTGGAAATAACTGTCAAGTTGACTGCAGTTTTCCTTCTGCAAACTCTGCTCTACAGTTGGCAGCCTTGGCTCTTCAAAAGAAAAGTGACACCGCGGAGTGCAGAGAGCTAGTTCATGCCATATTGCTGCAGAAGTGATAATTTTTGAGTGAGTTTTGTTTAAATATCACAGACTCAGATTCCAGATATCTGTATGTGGCCTATTTCAAAATATAAGTTAACTTCTGCATTTCCTAACTCTGATGAGCTGCTTTCCCCCTCATCTTCTTTGCTAATTCAGTCAGATGAACATTTCCATACATCAGTTAAAGTGAGTTATAATCTGCTCAGGAACTTGTACAGGAAGGAAAGAAGGATGTTGGTGCAATATTCATAATGCAACCATCTACTCAGTGCAGATTTTCCATCTCTGAGATTAAAGAGCATATTAAAAGCATTGGAAATAAAAATTATCTAAAGGGTTTTCTTTTTGATAATAAAAATATCTGTCACGGACTGAATTCATTTGAGGTGTGGGCCCCCTACAAGGACATGAGCAGCATCTCACTGTACCTTCATTGAATTTACCCTTCAAACTGCTGTAGCCAGGTGTTTCCTTCATGCAACTGGAAGTGGGATGGGATGAGAACAGATCACACTTCTGGGGTGAGTATCAAATTCATCCACAATGACTTCAACAGCTTCTCCATCCCCTATTGGACTGCAATCAGCAGCAGAACACGGGCAATGGATTGCAGCCATCCACAGGGTTTACAGGCTGCTGTGAACACACAGATACTCTGTATTTATGTTATAGTAACATGATCATCACAGAGTGATGCACTAGAAGGCCTTCCTGGGCTGAGATGTCACCAGTGAACTGGTTTGATGCTGCTGCTGCTGAGCATGCTTAGATGCTGGAATTTCACCCAGATTTCACCTGTTTAATGCCAACAGTTTATGCACGGAGCCCTGCTTACAGTCAAGCCTGGTATTTTCAGTCTTTTGTCCCTAAGCACTAACACCACAAGTAAGAGTTCAGAGACTCCCTGTATTTATTCTTTCCGGCTTATCTCAGTGCCCCATTAAACAAGGACGAAAGATTTCCTTATGTAATAGGGATAGCATTTGTTATTTTTAACCTTATGGCAGCCGGGATTTGTGCCAGGTGGCATTTTGCCTTAACCAGGCAACTTCACGAGGTTACATTCCCCGCTGTCATCCTTGCCCTCTGGTATGTTTGATGCCCATACATGGTTTCTTGGCTCTCTGTCGCCGTGTCTATCTGTTAGCCTGTATTTGTGACAGATCACGGATATACCAGTCTTATTTAACAAGGTAAATCAGGGTAGTGGACAGTTATTTCCAGGATACTGCAAGAGCTTCTGCTTCTAATAAAGGGTACTCTCTTTGTGAAATCCACAATACCTATTTACATGTATCTGTGCTACCAGAGAAACACTATCAGTGCAGCTTAAGTTTTCAATACACCAAAACAGCTTTAAAATGGTTTGTTTAGTCAAATTAAGCCCAAGTGGACAAATAAAATGGTTGCACCTCTCAGCAGCTCAAGACTGAAAACTGGTGGCAAGGCCACAGAAGGCAAAAGCTGTGGGCTGAGCATCCTGAACAGCCGAGATCCTGAGGCCTCACGTCTCAAAGTGCTCCACAAACACTGCTGCTCGCTTGTAAACTCCATAAGCAGCATCACTGTACTGGATTCTGGCAATTTCATGGAGCTTAAGAAAGCCTGGGTGATACAAAGGATGCTGCCAAAGCCTGTTGTACCTCTAGACCAGTACATGGAAACTGCGTCAACACGCTCCTTTGGGTCCAAAGGAATTCAACAGCAAAGGATGATTTTCACAGTGCTGTAGCTAGACTGAGCTATTTATAAGCAAATGAGAGTGACAGATCCTGCGTCCCATGGCTTGCAATTCTATAAAACGCACGTGGGACCACGAGGAGAATAGATGCAAGTTGTCACTGCAAAAGTCTACATGATATTTCAATTAGAAGCAAACCTTCTTCAAAATATCTGAATAACTAAAGCTAATGGGAAATGTAATTCCACCTTCCTATGAAGAAAAGTTACTTGGCATCTTCAACTACGCGCTCACATAGTTTAGGGGCTCTCGCTTGTTTACTTCGAACACAATCCCCCTTCATACAGTCTCCAGGCCGGAGGCACAGAGAGGTAGAAGCTGAATTCTTCTGGCCATGTATATACATGTGGCATTTCTTGGCCTTTTAAGTATTTGATTTTGAAACCTATTTAACTTTTGGACGTAGGTGTTTTCGTGGGTTTTGTTGGGGAATGCCAAAAATTCTGCATGTAGGGGAAAAAGAAAAATCAGTAAGAGCAACTGTGTGACTGTTGTTCTGTTTCTAACTGAAGGGCCCTCCCTCTGTGTCTATAGCACCAGTCAAACTTTCTTAGTAGCACAAGCTTCTTATTCAGCTTTGTTTTGACAAAGAAAGATAAACCACTGTTTTGCTTTGCCCTTCCCCCACCATTTACTCAGTGGTTTTATTTAGTTTGGTATTCCCTGCTCCTTGGAGGGGAAAACAAACGTATTTTGAATAAACTCATTATTTTTGACCATATTAAGTTGTTGACTATGTATGTTCTTACGAAGAATTTAAAATAGAATGCAATTATAAATCACTGCTAAAATGAGCTTGTCCTGCAAAGGCAAGGACATTTAATTGTATCCTTGTATGACTGGAATCACTGTAAACAACTAATATTCCTATTTGCAGGGACAGAAATAACTAGCTCATTCAGCTGTACAGAAAGGAAGACATAAAAGGAAACCAAAGGCTAAAGCAGAATAAGCCACTGGAAAGTCTTATGTCAACAAAACGGGATGTAAATTAAGCAACATCAATGCAGTATTTTGACTGTAAATGAACCAGAACATTAAGACAGGTTTTAAAAGGCACATTTGTGATGAAACATCTATGACTAGTTCCTATACCAAATGAATAGGAAAGTTCCTGCTTGTTTCTCCTGTGCAGGATCAAACCCACACAGCAAAGCTGTTTCTCTAAGCTTTACTATTACTTTGTAGACCTAAATTTCAAAATTGGGAATTGCAGCAGAACTGCAAGAAAAACACTGAATAAATGACTTATCAGTCACACACGATGGAAAATGGCATAATTAGAGGTTGCATCATAGCATACAGGCGTGAAGGAGTAAAATTGAAATTACACAGACAATTTCCATTCTTATGTTTGCCAATTTTCTGAGTGCTTGACTTTGTAACTTAAATCTCTTTCCTGATTGTTTTTCTGACACGGAATTGCAGATACGTGAGTAGATTTTAACGTTCATTACTTTGCCTTACTCAGTGGCAAAAGTGAAGAAAACCCAAAAAAAACAAACCCTAAACTCAAACTGAAGTGCATTTCTAAGCTATTGGAAATTACGGGGGATCAGTCAGGAGTCACCTTGCTTTAAAATCAACAGAAGCACACCAGAACTATTCTCCAGCGAGAGGAAATAAGGAAATAAACTACACATTCAACAGCTACGACACACCCTTTCCAAATAAGAAGAGAGAATTCATTTACCCAGTAATTTTACAACCATGATAACAAATTAAAATTGGGCTCAGACAGTGGAGAACCAAGAAGATGCACAATCCATAGCAAGGATCAGCCAAATCAAAGGGAACTTTCTACATTGCCAATTTTTGAGTAATTAGTACTTCCATTAGAGGCACAGCTCCAGCTTTAAGCAATTCTAAGTAATTAATGTTCTTTTATTTTGTCTAGAAGTCCTGACTTCAGCGTTCTCTTAGGATATGAGTTCTTCTAGCCAGAGCTCCACAATACAGATTAACTCAACTAGAAGACAATTAGAGTGGGCAGATGAAGATGCAATTTGTCAGTCTGTACACACTGTTACTTCTAGCTTTGGATGCAATTTTTATTAACACAGTAGACTGATTTAAACGGAGGGAGAGACATGGTTTTGTCCTATCTTTATCCACACGATTGCCTAAGCTACAAGTGGTGTTAAGATCTGAGAATTCCACATGACCAAACGACAAAGTGAATGAAGTGCCAGATTATATCTTCTTATGCAGCTTTGATCAGCTACAGGAATTCAATAACTGATTATAAACTTAATAATTTAAAATACATGATGGAGGAAATCTTGCTATACTTACTCATCATGTAATGTAAATTCCTACATTAAAATGCCGAGCTGAGCAGGAAGCAGAAGCTGGCCTGGTGGTGAGCACATGGAAAAAACAGAATTTGATTGCCAGAGATGTTACTGCATTTGCATGCTGTGCTGGGTAATCTGTCTGGGTGCTCACAATCTTGTCTTTAAAATGGGCCTAAAAATACGTATTCCAAAAATGGTTTTTTGCATTTCATGGGTGTTTTGATGATGACTTGTTTGCCAATCAGTTGAAGAGTCTTTAAGAAATGGGGCAAAGTAAAAAAAACGAAATGCAATTAAGTGATATTTCTTATTTGCACTACAACATCAAGTATAAGACAACACTTAAAATATTTCATATTGAGTTCTGAAACCCAAGACATGCATAGTAACAATGCAAAGCAGAAGTTTTACAAGCCTTTCACCCAATTTCCAGACACCACTGACCACTGAACCGCACCATACTCCAAGAGACATGTGGCAAAGAACATCATACTTTGCTTTCTCTACCAAAACCAAACATAGCAACCATTACCTTAGTTTTTAACTTCTGAATTTTCCATAGCTGCAAGAAGCAGAGGCCAGAGACCATGTCCTTCACCCAAGAATCTGTAGCACCAAAGGGAAAGTTGGAACTGCAGCTGAAGGAGAGCAAAGCAGGACCTCATTCACAGAGGTCTATTACTGCACCGGTGAGAGGCTCTAACTGCTCTTTTCCAAATGTTACTGTTCACACAGACTCCAGATTGGCAGGCCTTATATGTTTCTAATATTGATTGCAATAAAAAGAAATATGATGTTCTTAATCTACAAAGCCTCTCTTCTCACAGATTTGTCAATGCTTGCACATAATCGAAACCAAGGTCCGAGAAAGGCGAATCTTGCCAAACCTGCCAAAATCATAAAAGATTCACGTCTTTTTGCCTGGAGCTTACCTTGACAATCTTTTTTTACAAGTCTCCTCTAAAATACAGTGCAAAATACAGTTGTAACTTCCTTGGGCTTTTCAGCTACGAGGTACATTAAGTGCACTATGAGGACCCACATTTTTGTGTGACTTGAGAAACCAAAAGTGTCGATTTTCAAATCTAAGGAGAACACAAATTCTCTGACATCATTTAAGCTGAAAAAAAGAAACTTTGAAAACATAATCTGTGAGAAATTCCTGGTTTTCATGATGGAAAATAAACGTATCAGCTCGTGTTTGGAGTGGCAGTAGTTTTTCCCAGATGCATGTTCTCAGACATAAAACACAAGTCCAATGATCATTCACAAGTTCGCTAAATGTCAGTATCGCTTCTCTTTATTACAGGTCCTTTTCACCAACTTTTAAATGCAAAGTCAATTTTATACAGCTCTGGGCCTCTAAAAGCTCTAGGTCTTTGCTGCATCCTTGGCAGTCCCCAACCAATCACTGTCCCATGGTAACTGAACACTACCTGAGCTGCTGCTGAGGGATCGGCAGCTCAGAGGAGAGGCTGGTCACTGCTGCTGAGTTCTGCTCACTCCATGCTGGCTATTGTGTTAGAGCAGGGCATGCTGGTCCCTAGTCTTTTTTTTGCTGAAAACATCACCTTCAAGAAGTCAGAAAGCGTAAGTTATTTGTAACTAGTAATATATTTCATATTTCTGAAGATTTGCAACTAATCCATGACTGTAAAGGCTGTCAAATCCACTCAAATGCTTCTTATTGAAAAATTAGGCCCGCATATCCATAGATCCTCCCCTCCTCCACAAACCCAAATTAAAGCTGTAATTCCCAAAGACAGCCACTCTTCTTAAACACTACACTTTTCATATAGTTGTTATTAATAAAGTATGAACAATGTTTGCAGAAACATGAAAGAATCAGGTCAAGAACAGTGACTGAATACAAGTGTTATTAAATAAGCCAATCATCCAACGTTTGAGTAATTAATGTCCTTGTTTTCTACTTGAAAGCCTCGTATTTTCAGCATGTTCACAGGAGACAAATGTCTCACATCAAAGTGAATGAACACAAATTAACTCTTTTGGACGCCAGTTAAAAGAGAAAGATGAAAATGCAATACTGGCAGGCTAGCTACAAAATGTTGCAGCACAGCACTTCTCATCATAGGGTTGGTACAATCAGATGACTTCACTACGTAGAGTCAAAGGATTTGGTCTGTTCCCATCTGTGCATTATCTGAATATCTAAACAATTGCCATAATGCATTTGAAAACTTCAAAATATAAAAGGAAAACTAACAAAGCTGATGGTATCCCCAGATCACCGTGTGAAGTACTAATAAGCAACTGTGTTATACAACCCATGTTCAACAGACTGAAAATGATCTTTCCCAAATCCAAATGACATACTTCTAAAGCTGAAAGTGATAGATTACAGCTGGCTGAGCAAACACTGTACTGTATGCTCATTTTAAAAGCTGCCATTGTAAAAGACCCTCCAGGCTTTTTGTTGGTTCCTTTGCTCTTCTTATTAAGAACTGCAAAGCTCCTCTTATTTAACAGTAATTACAGGGGGAGATGGAGAAAAACTAACGAGAAGAGAGGTTTATTTTTCTAAAGATATGCACTTAAGATTACTGTAATAACACGTCTATGGACCAAATATGTTATTTTTATTTTATCACATCAAAACAGAATAAATCTGTGCAACTGGAAAAACTTATGCATACAAAATCTGAATACCCAGTATCAGAATACATATAATATTAGGCTTCTTATTAGAAAATATGTCTTGACAACTAATTTATAGTCTCTATATATGACAACCTATCCTCTCCGCCAGGCAACTGTTAAGACACAAAAATACTCTCAGGACAGCAGCTGTAGAACTTGTCGTATGCGCTCGCACTTGTCCAAGAGGTTTGGGTCTTCTGCATTGGAATCATCAAATTCCTTCATAAAAGCTTCAGCTTTCTGCACAGTTAAGTCTCGTGCATTGCCTTGAAGCCCTTGCAGATAATCCAGTAAAATGGTGAAATACTTGTCTGGAACCTTTAAAGAAAAATCAAGGAATTAATAAAAAAACCCTGCTTAACTTTCTTCTCTCTCAATACTCATTCACAATCATGTCAAAACACCACCTGAAAGATAATTAAGAAAACTCCATGGGCTTTTGTGTTTGCCAATGCCCATCTCTGAGTGGAAGTTTTCCTTGCCAAGGCTCAAGCTGCTGGGAGGGATGGACCGTGGCAAGAGGACAGTCATGTGCTCAGATGGGCAAAGCATCTGAGAGGAAATTCTAAGCAGATGTGGAAATGCTGATCAGCAAATGCAAACACCCCCTGACAATGAGCTCAAGGCTGAGAGTTGTTGGTAGAAAAAAAACCCAACTACTAGCCAAATCCTACTTTTAGAAACATGTATACAAACCTTACCAAATTCAGTGAGAATTGCATGCACATGTCTGAGGAAGGAATTTTGTGAGAATTACCCTCACCCCTACCCAAACTTATTTGTTTGCTGAGATAAGATACCACCCACCATCAAACACTTTGACAGAATGCTCATACAGAGGAAAAGAATTCGATTTGAAAAACAAATTGAAATTCAGACATATGGAAATCATTTTTAAATCACGCTGACTAAAACTGATAGGCTCTACTAACTGGCCTAACATTAAAAGCAGTTTAGTCATCTCCAGTTGCATTACCCCCATTTCATTCCCTTTCTAATTAACTAGTCACAGGTTAAATTTTAGCTTATTAGGTACAACATACAATTTAAATGAACATTACGTTAAATAATCTTGGCAATAGCCTAGCAAAGACTTCTGAATTATTTATTCGGTATTTCAAACCAATTTCTTTTCAAAAGCATTAGGTGAACAGATCTACGCTGAAGCATATCTTAACTTTATGTTGTGTATCTGTGGAACAGGTTTCAGCCAATAAGAGAATATTTTTGCTGTGAATCAGGAGATGTTAAAATGACCTAATGCTGCAAATATTTTCCTCCATGTTTAACTTTACACATATAACTTGACATGAGTCAAGTTAAACACATACGTAAGTATTTAAAGGACTGGAGACTCATTATTCGAGGGCTGTTTCAATTCTGCAAAGTATCAACATTTCAGAGAAGGCAGAGCTTCAACAGATACTTAATTTACAACTTATTTCTCCATCAACATTTGGCAGCGTAACTTTGATCACTGAAACTTCTATCACTCCAAAAGAAGAGGAAGAAAGAATATTCCAACAGTGCCTTCATCAATCAGAGATACTTCAAAGTAATAAATCAAAACTAAAGTCTGCATTCAGCCTCATCGCTTCTACACTACGGAAAACCTTCTAATTCTTCACACAAACACTCTTGCATTAAAGAAACAATACAGATACAAAAAAATTAATTTTACAGTGACTAACACTGAAATGGATGATACATGAAGTGTTGCTATAATATACAAATTAAACGCATTTAAACATAACGAAAAACGCCTACATTTTTGCAACCTTTTTACCCATAGTGAGCTGGTACAAATAACAGACCAAAAAAATTCAGATACAAACAATTTCAGCAGGACAGCGCTCCTTTAACGCAGATGCTCAGTGCAGGGTTTTTAAATCTCAGCAACATTTCTATGTTTCAAACCTCATCCAAGTTATTTACATAATTTACACCTTTTATTCTCAGACCCTGTGGTACAGTCATACCTCACTCTAGGTCGAGAGAGGTCCTCCTTCCCCTCTACTCTGCCCTGGTGAGACCGCATCTGGAGTATTGTGTCCAGTTCTGGGCCCCTCAGTTCAAGAAGGACAGGGAGCTGCTGGAGAGAGTCCAGCGCAGGGCAACTAAGATGATTAAGGGAGTGGAGCATCTCCCTTATGAGGAAAGACTGAGGGAGCTGGGTCTCTATAGTTTGGAGAAGAGGAGACTGAGGGGTGACCTTATCAGTGTCTATAAATATATAAAGGGGGAGTGTCACGAGGACGGAGCCAGGCTCTACTCAGTGGCAAACAATGATAGGACAAGGGGTAATGGGTACAAACTGGAACACAAGAGGTTCCACTTAAACTTGAGAAGAAACTTCTTCTCAGTGAGGGTGACGGAACACTGGAACAGGCTGCCCAGGGAGGTTGTGGAGTCTCCTTCCCTGGAGACATTCAAAACCCGCCTGGACGCATTCCTGTGTAACATTATCTAGGTGTTCCTGCTCTGGCAGGGGGATTGGACTAGATGATCTTTCGAGGTCCCTTCCAATCTCTAACATACTGTGATACTGTGATACTGTGAATTACAGTTATTACTGTAGCATTTAAGCAAAGTGCTTGAGGGGGCAATTAAAAGCCTACTCAGAAATACTAAGTGTGCAGACAGACATGTGGCTGCCTGAAGCCTAGCAAACATTTAGTATTTTGCCCTAAAGATAACTGCTCAAGTGTTCAAAAAGTCAGATTTTTTTCTTTAATGCAGGTATTAGGTTTATCTCAGCAAAAGCTGAGTAATACAATACAGTACCAAGGAGTCAAGATAGTATCGGATTTCCTCCTAACTTGCACGTACAATAGAGGTGGAACACCAAAAGTGGCAGCAAAATTAATGATATTCAATTTTAATTATCAAATATAGCAGTATAAGACCTGAAATTTCAGGGACTCTTGCTGTGGTTTTATAGAAAGAAACACAATCCACCTTCTAAGATCAGCTTTTGGGCTGGCTTGAAATTGGATATCCAGATCTACCACCACGGCTCTGGCAAGTGGAAGTGATGCTTTTGGGATTGTATTACTCTTTGGTTAAACTGCTTTGACATTTTTCTAGTTTCTTTTTCTCTCTCACACACTAACCTTACCTCTGTTCTAACCAGCTAATGTGCACTGGAGCTAACATGGAAATATCCCCAAATAATTACTGTCATCAGGGAAAAGGGGTGGGGGGGGAACACTACAAAACAGTAGCAGGAAAAGAACAGTTATCACTTTTAAGTTATGCTATGTAACTCTGGAGGCTTCAGGCTTTTTAGACTTGCAGATGGTCACAGGTTTTGCAAAACAAACACAGGTATCTGCATAGAGAACTTCAGCTTACTGCAGCCAAGCTTGCTTTTTTGTCACCTTCTGAGGAAGCTTCAGAAACCCCTCCAGGGCCCTGCAGCCCAGAAGCTGAAGACAGCTGATGTAGTTCCTCTCTGAAAATGCTGCACCGGATGACAAAGATCAACAAATGATGTAGTGTTTATTTTAGATGGGATCCTGAACCATTATATACACTGTAGGTATATAGGCTTGGGATGGAAGCTGTCAGCCAACCACCACATGGATTTTAAAGGGACTTAAGATAACCACTCGTGTCACAAAGGACTTTAAAATCTCAACTTATTTCTCACAGAAAGAGGCCTATCGGTCCAGGAAACTCAATTCACCCGTTTGCATGGCTTTTCAGTAGGCATCCAAGCGACACCATGAGATCAAAGAAGCTGATGAGGAAGGAAAGAAACACGTGTCTCCTTTTGTATTTTAGTCATGCTTGGATGGATATCTGACAGATTTTATTCTGTCATGGATAGGAAGTTCAACTGCATATAAAAAATATTCAAAAGAATATGGTCTGCTCTTCCTATAGTCCTGATGAAGAAAGAGACTTCATCATCTGCTTAATTATAAGCACTTGAGCAGTTCTACTAAATACTGCATCTGAATGCAGATGTTAATCATTACATAATGATTATTATGTATGAAGATAGGCTGAGAAAGTTGGGGCTGTTCAGCCTGGAGAAGAGAAGGCTGCATGGAGACCTCATAGCAGCCTTTCAGTATCTGAAGGGGGGCTATAGGGATGGTGGGGATGGACTATTCATTAGGGACTGTAGTGATAGGAGAACGGGTAATGGGTTCAAACTTAAACAGTGCAAGTTTAGACTGGATATAAGGAGGAAGTTCTTTCCTGTTAGGGTGATGAGACACTGGAATGGGTTGCCCAGGAAGTTGTGAATGCTCCATCCCTGGCAGTGTTCAAGGCCAGGTTGGACAGAGCCTTGGGTGCCATGGTTTAGTGTGAGGTGTCCCTGCCCGTGGCAGGGGGGGTGGAACTGTATGATCTTAAGGTCCTTTCTAACCCTAACTATTCTATGATTCTATGCTTCTATGAATCATTGCACTTTCAGCAGATTAAGACAAGACAAAGTTAAGCTGTGTTTTGATACATAAAACAAATGCTACTTGAAGTTAATTATTTCCCAGTATATTTCAACACAAAACTCAAAGTAAACAGGTAAAAAGCTAAAACATCATTCTGCCCGTAAAACAATTTCTAGGTAGTTTTAAAGAGCATACACCGATTCTGAAAGGTTGATAAAAGACTTTCACAGGAAAAACTTAAAAACAGAAGTGCAAACAAGCTAGATACTTACAATCAAATACGCATTCTGCAAGTAATCTTTTTAAAGTATTGTATTCTGTGAACACTTTTGCCCTTATGAAACTCTGCTTTTAATTATATGGTTCTCTAGAAGTATTTTTATCATAAAGGTAACACCCTCTGTCAAGTGATTCTCTTAAGAGCTATTGAGTAATTTGGGTCAGGAAGTTGGTAATGCTCAAATGTTGAAGTGCACACAAAAAAGTCAGCAAAACCTAACTGAATGTCAACTAAATGAATCAACAAGAAAGGCCCTGTGCAAATAGCTAGATATTTGCTCTACCAAACAACACAATGAATGACTAGAAACCCCCACTCAATACCACAATGGCCAGATGCTTATTGGAAATTCAGTCTTTGTTGTTTTTTAAGGTATGAAATGAATGGATCTCAGTAATGATGCAAGCCTCGCTTCTGGTTATACTTTATGTTTTTTACAATCAACATCAGGTTTCACTTATATTTTAATGAGAAAGCTATTTTAACATCTTGGCAAGATGGCTGTACATCTTATATGGAGCCAGAGATACCTAAAGCAATATGAGAATCACGATTTATAATACCGGGTTCCACATTTAGAAATGAAGGATGACTCAAATCCTCAGTAAGCTCCAGATTTACATAAAACATTAACCTGCTCTATTTATGCTTGACATAGATCAAGTATAAAAATGACATACGATCAAGTATAAAAACCTAATGTACACAGGAGACTGATCACCAACAAAAGAAAAAGATTAATTACAAGCAATTAAAATGATTCCACATTTTAGGTTTTTTAACCTAAATGATTCCACATTTTAGTTAAAACACAAAGTAATTGATTTATAAATTATTGAAAAATTATTAGCAAAGCGCAAGGCTATTACTAGCAACTTTCAGTGAATAAAAAATAGCTACAACTAGTGTTTAAATCATCTTTGCTCTGAAAAGAAGCAGCGTTAATACAAACCTTCTCTTTATCATACATGTGCAAGAGGAGCCAGGTTTGTCTTGTCTTTTGAAACTTCCATTCTTCTGGGTTTTCAGACCAGCTGTAGTACAAAAAAAAATACATTAAATACCATGACTGAAACATTAATATTAATAAAAGATTTCCTACAATGACTCCATGTAACTTTGTAAGTGCGACATAGAGTTTATGACACTGTGAAACGGATACTAGCATGCATGTTGTGTGAGTGGCAAAAAGAACACAACAGATGGCTACCTGACTTCGGCGCAAGAAAGGAAAAGATCATAGGAAGACATCATGGCCAAAAATGTTATACATTTTCATCAGAAAGCACTGATTTCTTGGAGTTAAAAATCAGTTCCCACTCCTCAGCTTGGACCAGTCCTTTGTGAGAGGTCACTGCCCTCATTTGATCCACAACAACCAAATCCTTAGCCCAGCTGCAGGGCTACCTGAGTACGCAGGGACATGGAGGGGACGAGGAATCAAGTTTGGGTTCCAGTAAGGTGGTATTTCGCAATAAATTGACATGAAATTAAGCAGCCTCTAAAGGACTGGAAAGAGAGACTCATGCTACACAGTCACCTCAACAAAGGCTGAAGCCCATCACAGATGCCTGTTCTAGAGCAGAGAAAATTCATTCTTCAGAAGCATATGGTTTAAGGCTGGGATTTGTCCAGAAGTGTGACTTCAATATTGGTGTTTACAGGACAGGAAAATGCTTTTTGGGTCTCGCTCTCTCCAGGAATTCTAACATGTAGCTCAAAACTTCAGGCTGCTTCAATACTGTTAAACTGAGCGGCTAAACCAGATGATTAACATCTGCAGACATTCTTGGACTACTTAGTGAACACATTTGAAATATGCAGTTTTAGCTGGGTTAAAATGTCACATTTACGTCCATCTTGAATATGATTTAAAGCTGGTATAATCCGTTTTAGGTAATGAAAGAAACCTTTATTTCTATAAACAAAGATCAAGCTAGCAAATCTCACTATAAAGACTGCTTTTTTACAGGAATGTGCTTGAAAATTAGCATCTTAATATGTACAAAATCTGTGAATACACTGAAATATCATTTAAAGATCCAGAAGGAAACCTATGAGGAGAAAAAACAGAAGATTTTACAGTTATTTGACTTTTCTCTAAAAAACAAGTCTCCAGAGGGTAGCATGCATGATGCCTTTAATGTTCCAGCTTGTTTTACACAGCAACAGAGAGCACAGAAATCAACTGAAAAGCCAGCTGGGTATAAGAATTAGTATTGTTTAAATGCTGCCAAGTGTAATAAAGCAGAAGTCCTCATATTTGGTGAATGCTGCACCAGCAAATACATTTTTCAGTCAATTCAATGAAAGAGGGAAAACCAGACCTCAAATTAGTGCAGAAGGGTTTGATGGAAGTCTCTGCAGAAAACCCAAAGAAAATAATTATTGTCTTGACTTTCAAACTCACGATAAAGAAAAAGCAGCAACAAGTCATTAGGGTTATGACCAGCTAAATTCAATAAAAATGTCTGTAACCAGTACATTAGGTAAAACTCAGACAAACAACAGGAAGGATAAACAAAACATTAATAACCACAATATATCATAATCAAATGAACTGATTTAGAAGTCTCTTTTGGGACATTGCAGTAAGTGGGCAAAAGTTTGCAAAACAAATATTGCACAAAAGCAGGAGCCCAAAAGCTGAACTGCCAAAAGTTACAGAACCAAATAAAAAAATATTATGATGGGGAAAACATCATTCTCCCATCACCACCAACCTCAAAACCAAAGTACGTGCAAAAGAAAGATCATTCACCCCTTGGTGTCACTTGGCTTTGCAGCGAGATATCCAACTGAACAACAACTGTCAAAATACACCACCTGTAACAAGGAGCTGACAGAGAATAAAGTAAAAAGGGCTTTTCTTGTGGGTGCAGTTTCTGGGGCAAGCAAACACAGTAGCTCCTAACTGAGAAACTGGAACTTCTGCAGGAAGTAATGCAGCAAGACTATTAAGTCCTTCAAAAAACAGCCCCAAAGATAATGACAGTGCTTGTTGTTGAAAGAAACCCATTCGTTTATGAAGTTCATCCTTCTGAACAACTACATGGAAGATGCTATGAGAAATGCTGTCTATTTGCACACACGAAGAAGAAGGTAAGTTTAAAATCAGGTTTTATGTTAAATAAACCTAGAAACAGTTTACATTTTAATCTGTGCAAGGTGACAAGAACAAGAGGAATGGCAGATCTGTGACTGCATTCTGTGAAAACAGTCCTCATTCTAATGAAAACCTTTAACATGTTTTTATTTCTTTATGTATTTGTGATTATATTCGTTGGTTGGACACACCACATAGTACTCTGAACATTTTATTCTCTTCTAGTTTTATGTTTCTATCCCTTACAGTATCACCTGAGGACATTAGACATCAACTTGAAAAATACAGCCTGATTTGACTAATCTCCTATAAAGCTATAGGATGTTAAAATATCTTTATTACCTAGTTTATAAACAACTGAGACCAACAAAAAAGTGCACTGTAAGGTTAATTGCTCTTATTAGCCTATTACCAAAACCATATGCTCTTTTCTAGCAAGCTGTTACACTTCTGCAACTAAGACCCCACATTGACTCCTACTCTAGTGAATTCTCTTGTAGGAACAGACAAAAGCTTCAGCTAGTCTTCCTGAAAGGTTTTGCTCTATATACACCACAATAACTGATACAAATAAGAAATTCTTAAACAACTGCAGAAAGCACGTTTTTACTGGTACTTTATCCACGGTTGCATCAATTCCTGTTTCTCCCCCTTCAGGAAAATGGTCCTTCTCTTGACCATAATTCCTATCAAACTGTGAGCAAAACACTCATGATAATGGATGCACAATCTTTAAGACAGATAACCTGAGGTTGCTCCCTGCAATCGGCCCCCACGGCAGTTATTAAAATAAAAGTTTTCCACTGATTCCTATGACTATGACAGCTTTTTTCCTACTCTTATGACAGCTTTAAAACCTATGGAAAGTATCACTCCATGACAGGGTGAGAGGGGTATCTTGTTTATCAGAATGACATCATTAGTACATTTTTAGAAATGTTCAACTTTTAAACTACAAAAAGTTGAAGCCCTGTAACACGAGAGAGGTCTCATTTTGCTGTTTATACGCAGATAAGCTTCCTTGACATACTACAGCAGTAGAAAAGGCTTTTCCTTTGAGCGATTAAATGTCCCAACTACATTACAGTTTAAAAGAAACGTTTTATGGACAATCACAACTTTTCCCATAGTTTGAATTAATTTGATAGCCTTTAGAAGCATCTACGTCCAGATCTAATATAAACTATGGAACTGGATCAAAAATACACATGGGTAAAACATGCATTTTTCCAGTACGCCTTGGGCTAATTTTCAATATATTATTCAAACACTAATTGCCTTCTTTACACAGTTAATGTTTGAATGTTCCTTACGAGCTCCAGCTCATTGAAAAAACACATTGGTTGACTTTAGTTAAAGAGAACTTTTATGTTTGTGCAAATGATCTTCCTAAATGGCTTTGAAATTGAAGATACAGAGGAAATGAATCAAATGAATCGAGCGGCTTAGGGAATTTTACATTTGGGAGTCTGGATTTTAGCATGAGAGACTCACATGGAAAAGCTGCCCAAGATTCTCACTGGTATAGCTCATAAATGACTTCCAGTCTCTATATTAAAGTAACCTTACACAAATCTGTTTCCAAAACATGAGAATACAGGCAGCATAAGAAGGCAAACAAGAAGACAACTGGTAGTGTGCAGGGCAGAGCGCTCTCTGGATGTCCTAGCAGAAAGAGAAAGGAAAGGGAAAGTAGGCAAACTGCTTCCAGAAACACAGTAAGAGACAAACATTATTGTTACAAATTGCATTCAGGAAGACAACACAAAGCATCTACTCAGACTACTGCGCAGCACAAAACCCCACAAAGCTGTCACAGCTATTCAATAATCTATGTGTATAAAAACACTGTGCTGAGAACCAACCATTTTGCTCATTCAACTTGAGAAGATCACTGGGTAGGAGACAAGTCTTGAGAGACCAGAGAGACAGATATGTGACTGCTGAAAACCTTCCAGAAGACACAAGAGCACTGTTGCATGCCAAATGCAAGGACACCTAGATTCACCTACATCTGCTGCTCCAATTTGGTGCCACTGGCGGTCCTGCATGGGTATCTCTCCACGGTAAAGCAGATGGCCCCCAAATTTAGATCTCTCCAGCATACATCCCACACGCAGCATCAGGGAATTAACCTGAAAGGTTTCTCCAGCTGTGAGAACCAGGTCATGGTGTTGCCTCCTCTTGCTTTCCTGGGATTTACCCATGAGGACCCTTGTGATTTACTCTCTCAAGCTTCACTGAGTCTCAGAGGAGGGACAGAGCAATGGATCTGGTCCATTGCACCACATCCAAGGCTACACTGAAAAGATCTATTGAAAACATTAAGAGCAGCACACTGCACTACTATACAAAAATTGTCACATTAGAATCACAGAAACATAGAACCGCCCCACCTCTTCCCTCACAGTCACCCTTCACCTCTCATGGCCACCCCTCCTGTCCCCTCACAATCTCCCCTCATCCCTCATGGCTGCTTCTCCTGTCCCCTCACCCCTGATGGCTACCCCTGCTCTCCCCTCACAATCTCCCCTTATTCCTCATGGCTGCCTCTCCTGACCCCTCACCTCTCATTGCCACTCCTGATTTCCCTTCTTGACCGCCCCACCTCTCCCATCACGATCTTCCCTCACTGCCACCCCTGCTCACACCTCACGATCTCCCTTCAACCCTCACGGCCACCCCTCTTCCCATCTCATTTATCTGGGTACTCTTCTGTTTTGACACACTCGGTTTTTCATCACCACAAAACCCATCTTTAAGGATCACCTATGCTGTGATCCCACATACCCTCCAAGAAAGACTGAACAGAACTTATGGTACATGATCAAGGCATCAAGACTTTACTCCTGAAGCTCTCTACAAACAGTGCAAAAGGTGCATTGCTGCACTCACTATCTATCCATAAAATGTGGATAGCAGGTGCTT